AACTTGGAACATCATGGACCGAATGGACTCGGCAGCATTATAGGGATTGGTCCATGCACTAAGAAAATGATTTTTTCCTCTTGGTCTGTATGTATATGGATGTATATATGTGGGAGAGCGATGCTGTATTGAAAATGTGGGATCTGAGCACAACGTGAATGGTATGGAATAAGGGGTGGATAATGTCCTGGGTTCAGCAGTAGCAGTCATGTTTTTTCCTTTGTGTTAACTGGTGCAGTGCTGTGTTTTGACTTCTAGTTTGAGAACAGTGTTGGTGAAGCCGATGTTTTCGGTTGTTGCTAAGTGATGTTTACCCTGACCAAGGACTCTGTGAGGCTCATGCTCTGCCAGGGAGGAGGGGAAGCTGTGAGGAAGCAGAGACGGGGCGCCTGACCCGGGCTAGCCGGGGAGGTATTCCATACCACAGCACGTCATGCCCGGGGTGGGGGGTAACTGGGAGTTACCCGGAAGGACAGGAGCTTCCGGGTGGAACTCGTTTTCTTGGCCGGTGGTATCGTATTCTCTTCCCTTGTTATTTTCCCTTATCATTGTTTTAGCTGATAGTAGCGGTGGTGATTTGTTGCTGGACTGTTCTTGTCTCAACCCGTAGGAGTTGCACTCTCTCGATCCTCCTCCCCGTTCCTCCGGGAGCGGGGAAGGGGAGAGCCCCGGTGCAGGGGGGGGGGAGACGGACACGGACCTTGATTGTTGTCAGCTCGGCACCACTCACTGGGAGTGAGTGAACAAGTTACCTGACTGGGTTTAAACCACGACAATCTTGAAAACCCCTACTCACAGGAGGAAGACTCATTTACTTCATCTTGAGACCCCTGCCCATGACCAGAGGGGGCACTGCGCAGGTACAAAGGACCTTCTAGTTCATCATAATACGAAGCGGGGATAGATACTAAATATGCATAGGCGTATCGAGTAATCTAATGCATATGAATACCTTAAGAGAATAAATGTAGAGGGTAAAACGACCCTGGGTGTGCATACTTTGGAGGAACTATCCCCATGCACCTCAGCGCTGAATAAAAAGCATACCTACTTTACAATTTTAACAAGTTGTGGAGTCAATCCGTGTGTCAGTAGAAAAGTGGGGACTGATGTAAAGGGTTAACCGATGTACGGGGGTAGGTCAAGCTGCTTGCTTAAATGTTACTGCTTGCTTGCTTATAGTACTCGCCATATATGCTAGAACAAGATATAAGGACATGGCTATTGTTAAGAGGTAGGGGCCGTGACTTGATTCCTGTCCTTTTGACGCCAAGGCTGGCTGAAATTGACTATGCGGTTTGGACAATGACCAAGCCTCCAGGGAGCATGCGTAAAGACTAGAGGTGAAAAGTTCAGGCTCGAGGAAGACTCGTTTACTTCATCATGAGACCCTTGCCCACGACCACTAGGTGGCACTGCGCAGGTGCAAAGGACTTCTTAGCTGATTATAATATAAAGCGGGGATAGGACATGAATATGTATAAGAGTGTTGTGCAATTTTTGGTTGATACGGGCGTAACGTATTCAGTATTAAACAAACTTTAATGCCTTTGTGGACAATTATATAATGGTAAAAGGGGCTACTGGCCAAAGTGAAAAGGCTTATTTTTGTAAACCATTAAAATCTCAATTGGGAAAAGAGTGGATAATCTATAAGTTTTTATATATGCCTAACTCCCCAAAAGAGCTTTTGGGGAGAGATTTGTTAGAACACTTGGGAGCGATCATTACTTTCAAAGGAGGCGAGATCACTTTAAAAGTAAACAACCAACAGTATATAGAGATGTTAAAGCTTATTTTTGATCACTAATCACATCGAGGGAGAAGTCAAGGAAGATATACTGGATCAGGTATTCCCAGGGGTATGGGCTACAAACATACCTGGATTGGCCAAAAATGCACTCCAATACAGATTAAGCTCAAGGAGGGAAAACAGCCAGGATTAAACAGTACCCCTTGAAAAGGGAAGATAGGGAAGGAATTTGCCCAATGATTAAGAATTTCCTACAGCTAGGACTGCTAAGAGTGCCAATCTGATTTTAACATCCCTATTTTACCTGTTCCTGAACCTGATGGGCCATACCAGGTGGTACAGGACTTATGGGCTGTTAATAAAATAACTGAGGATCCTTACTCTGTAGTAGCAAATTCATACACTTTGCTAACATGCTTAACATCAGAGCTAACTTGGTTTACCATTCTAGATTTGAAAGATGCTTTCTTTTGCTTCCCTCTCCATGAAGCCAGACAGAAAATCTTTGCATTTGAATGGGAAAGCCCTAAGAGTGGGTGCAAAACCCAGCTCACGTGGAAGGTGCTGCCTCAGGGATTTAAGAACAGTCCCACCCTGTTTGGAGAACAACCTTCAAAATACTTAGAGTTCTGGGAAGCCCCACCAGAAGAAGGGAAGTTATTGAAGTGCATAGATGACATTCTAATAGCTACACAGACAGAAGAGGCCTGTGTGGCCTGGACGGTATGACAGGATGGTGTAGATTGTGGATCTACCATCATGGACTAATTGTTAACCCTCTATATGCACTACAACAAGAATCTTCAGTGGACAAAGGAAGCCACTTGTGCCTTCAGTTAAAAAAAACGACAGAACAAGGCATTTGTCATTTTGAAATCCATCTAGACATTACTCAAAGGACTGTGCTTGTATATATATTGTGCTTGTATATATTGTATATATGTGTGTGCTTAAGAACTGCTTGTGCTTTTGTAAGGATAGATAATGATAATGAAATTGTGACTATTAAGAATCATTCTAATTTTTGTATTTGTAATTTTACTAAGATTACTGGGTGTGACTTTACATATTCAGCACCAGTTGTATACCACCAACTGATAACATACAATTACCACGAGCTATTACCTACCCCCTTTGGAATGGACCGTACGTTGGTAAGACAATTAATAGAACATCCAGACCTGATAAATATAATAAGAGGGGTCCAGGAAAACGGAAAGAAAACTTTAATTACCGTCCATCATGATGCAGAAGAAATAAGCAGAGTTCTATTAAGGGTAGGACAAGATACAAGCTGCCACTGCTGGGATGTACTTTTCAGACGGTCAACAACTGCAACTGGCATACTGAATACATTGTGTCACCCCATTCTTGTCCTTCTAATGTTAGCACTAGTTTCACATTGTCTATTGGATTTTTTGTTTGGAACTGGCGAATGTTACAACACATAATGATTTTGACCTCTCTCTCAAATGCGCATGGTAAGGCTCTGAGAGATACCTTCCGCAGGAGTTGGTCAAAAGAGGAATTTGTCTGAAAAGAATTTACTTACTTTGTAGAAAAGGGGAACTGATGCAGAGGGTTGACCAATGTACAGGGGGGTTGTACAAGGGGGTCGTACAAGGGGGTTGTGCAAGAGGGGATAAAGGAATTTTGCCTGTTTAACAGAAAGCATTATTTGCAAATACCTGTCAAGCTTGCCATTCAGTACCAGGACAATAGGCTATTGATAAGGGGGAGAAACAGTCTGATAAGGGGGAGGAACAGTTACTTAGTTCCAGTGAAGACCAGCTTTGTGGTTTGGACTTTGACTAGACTCCTAAAGGACATGCGTGATGGCTAGAGGTGAAAAGTTCAGGCTCGAGGAAGACTCATTTACTTCATCTTGAAGACCCCTACTCACAAGAGGAAGACTCATTTACTTCATCTTGAGACTCTCATCCATGCCCAGGCACAAAGGACTTTCTAGCTCATTATAGGGGATAGGACATGAATATGTATAGGCATATTGTGCAACCTTATGAATATATATATAACTTTAGAGAATAAATGAAGAGGGAAACAACACTGAGGTACGCATGCCTTTTGAGGAGCTATCCCCCATGCGTCTCAGTGCTGAATAAAAGCATACCTACTTTACAACTTTTAACAAGTTGTGGTGTCTATCTGCGTATCAATTTAGAATCTTTCTAGCTTTTGCTGTAGCATTTTCTAGCAGCTGCTGCAAATTTGCATGCTCTAACATATTTTTGACAAGTGACAAATCCATACCTATAGGGGTTGGGGTTATACTACGATACAAGGTGTAGTTTCTTATTAGCAATTGGCTAGTGAATACAGGTGCTTTTATACACAAAATCACAGCCTCTAATAATAGCTACTTTACAAGCACACATATTCAAGTTGTTACTTCTCAGTTGCCCCCAGGTGATATTTTGCAATCATTAATTTTTCTCTTCCTCTATCTCATTTTGCTTGGGGTATTCACAGTCAGCTCCTGTAGCTGAGGCATCGGGTTCTTCCACTCGTCTGTCCAGCTCATGGCAAGGCTTGACAAACTTTGCAGGCAGCCGCCATGGACCTGTAGGTAGGACACAAATATACCCCCTCCCCAGGTTATCAGTTCTTAAGAAATAGACAGATTAAAGTGATTCCTTAAAGCAGAAGCATTCTGATGAAAAAGGAATGTGAAGCAGCTGCAGAAGTAAACTGCAAAGTGTTAACAGTCGAGTTTGGTGTGTCATTACCCTTTTTTTCTTTTTTTTTCTTTCTCTGTCACCCTGATGCTGCTGGGGTGACAGTTCATAAAGCTTGTGGTTGCACTACCCCTCTTGCTTTTTCATTAGCAGTTCTTGTTTCAACCGATCTGTTCCTCCAAGTCTTGGATTTACCCCAGGTTACTTTAAACACACTAAGCAAGGCTCCTACCATGCGCCCAGCTTTGCTTGCGGTATCTTTACAGACTGCCCCAATAATTCAATAGATCGAGAGGTTTGATTTTTTTGTGGTTTTTTTTTCTTTCTTCTTCACTCCTCGGCTCCAGTGTCCCTCCTGGCCGTTACACCGGTGGAGCACTGGGAGCCGAATCGGAGGGCAGCTTCTGTTGAACATGGGGATCGAACTCTATCAAATAACTCACCCTGCTTTGCGCAGCTTCAAACGCTGGCCTTCTCAGCATCCACTATAAATGCCTGCCTGCTCAGCAGCAGCTACAGCTGCCTGCCTGCTCAGCAGCAGCCATAAATACCTGCCAGCAACCGCACTTCTGCATTAACCCTTTCTTGACCAAAATGTTAAACTGCTACCCGTTAAAAACTTTTACATGAGCCCGACAACAAAAAATACACAGAACACCGTCTGCCCTCATCACACACACACACACACATGCGATCCCACAAGCACGCTCCACACAACTACAATATTTGAAACACAAAATCCAGACAATCATTACTCCCACTACACAGTCCCACGTACAGAATGTGGCACAAGGACCCTGTGAAGACTATCAGGAAACCAGCTCCAAGAATCATCATCCCAGTGCAAGGTGGCAGGCCCAACCTTAGCAGGTGTTCCCGCGGAGGCTCTGCCTCCCCCACATTGCATGAGGCTTGGGCTTTTATACTGACCAAAATGCACACTCATTCCGACACAGGTGCCAGCCTACTTCGAAAGACGTAGCCAGCAATATCTATAAAGGTCTCCAAGGGTCGATAGAAACATGGACATATATTTGCCAACTTCTAGTACATGAGTATCACAGAGAGACTGTATCAAATGAGTTGTATATGGGGTCCCAAGTCCATGGTCCGCCAGTCTGTCCAATATCCCAAATAAGAGCATACGAGAGACCTTCCCACCGCGGGTCTTGATCCAGCACATACACTACCAGGAAAGCACACAATACCTCTGCATCCCCCACCCATCTCGGTTCTCCCTCTACAGCTGACCATTTATCATGAGGATCTGGGGGACATAAATCAGGCTCCTTTTCTGGGTCAATAGGCTCCAGGTCAAAAGGACCATCCAGGTCAGCCTCAGAATTATCAGGCATCAGAACCTCAGGAGCAGCAACAACAGCAGTCAGATGAATGTGCACAGGCTCCTTCTCGGGGTCAATAAGGCCTGGGTCAAAAGGATCATCTTCATCTCTATCCTCAGTCTTTGCAGCTGCGGCGGCAACCGGCGGAAGTTCGGGGGGGCAGGGGCGGCACTGGGCTCCACGATCTCATTTTTTTACTTTAAGGTCTCTAAAATAGATCTCCAAATGACTAACAATTTTTTCACAGTGTCATTGCCTTTTGTGGCTGCGTCCCACAATTTAATTCCTGCCCCATTTCACAAAGAGACCTCAAATACGGTAGACTCATCAATCTCTGGATAATGCGTCTTCAACCATTTCAAAATTAAATTTAAGTCTGTCTCTTTAAAGGTTGTTCCATTCACCTTAAGAAGGACTGAAAACATCCATAAAACGGAGGCTTCTTCCTTAGTAATATTCCCCCCCATAGTCCCGTTCCAGGCTGCTCACCTTTTCCAGGTGACTGTATGTCCGGACCTCTTCGGTGCTCCCCCACCGGCCTCCTCACCTCTCCCAGGTGATAGGTTCATGTCTGGAAGACTTCGCTGCTCCCCCAACGGCCTCCTCACCTCTCCCAGGTGATAGGTTCATGTCTGGACGACTTCGCTGCTTCCCCACTGGACTCCTCTGAGTTCAGCCGAGCTATGCCACCAGCCGCCGACTCCGACAGATTAGCCCGAGTTCCTCCTATTCGGGCGCCATTTGTGGTATATCAGGCATGGACTCCAGTTCTGGTGAAATCTTAAATCCTTTAATTCTCATCTCGCATCCCTTTTATAGTCTACTAGGTGCTAAGCAGTAACTTTCCACTCTTTTACTCCCTTATCATCCTGATTTAGTGAAACTATTAAGGGTTACAATATTCACACTGTTTGGTCTGTCTTTGAGATGCACATACTGCTTTATCTTGCAAACTGCCTGTTTTGTTTTGCCAACCGATCTTTACCCTTCACTGTTCTCTTTACAGTTCCCAAGGCTTAGGCCCCAGCAAGGCACTAACACCTGGTGTTTTCTTCCTGGTTCCCAAGGCTTGAGTATGTCCAGGGCAACAGCACCTGGTATTTTCTTTACTGTTCCCAAGGCTTAAGCCTGACCAGGGCGATAACGCCTGGATCCATTTTGTTAACTTTTTCTATATGTCACCCACACTGTAGTCCTTCCTTATGTTCTATGAGCTACTGCTGTCAATATCACTACCACCCACATGGACATGAAGTAAGTCAGTGGGACTTACTAGACCAGGCAGCCTCTCTGCAACATCCCTGATCCAAGCCCCTGGTAGGCAACACACATCCCTTGAGACTGGGTCAGGCAGACAGATGGGTGCCTGTATGTCTTTCTAAGTAGAGTCCCCTACAACTATGACCCATCGAATTTTCCTGGCAGCACCAGTAGTGATCTTCTTTACCAGTGCATCAGCTGGTTGTTCATGGTGTGAGTGTGTTTCCTCATTAGCCCCCTGCAGAACTGCAAAGTGGTACTGGGTGGGGACAACAGATTTAGGAGGAAGCCCCTTGCTTTTAATTGTCCTCTTAGAATCATAGAATAGTTAGGGCTGGAAAGGACCTTAAGACCATCTAGTTCCAACCCCCCTGCCATGGGCAGGGACACCTCACACTAAACTATCTCACCCAAGGCTTCGTCCAACCTGGTCTTGAACACTGCCAGGGATGGAGAATTCACAACTTCCTTGGGCAGCTCATTCCAGTGCCTCACCACCCTAACAGAAAAGAATTTCCTCCTTATATCCAATCTAAACTTCCCCTGTTTACGTTTTAACCCGTTACCCCTTGTCCTGTCACTACAATCCCTAATGAAGAGTCCCTCCCCAGCACCCTTATAGGCCCCCTTCAGATACTGGAAGGCTGCTATGAGGTCTCCATACAGCCTTCTCCAGGCTGAACAGCCCCAACTGTCTCAGCCTATTTTCATACAGGAGGTGCTCCAGTCCCCTGATCATCCTTGTGGCCCTTCTCTAGACTTGTTCCAACAGTTCCATGTCCTTTTTATGTTGATGTAATGAGTAAATTCCTGTTTGTTAATCAAATCTTGCTTGCTTAAGAGTTACTGGAAAATTACGACACTTCAACATTTTGCTTATAGACCGCAGGCGTCCAGTAAAGTAAACGATGTATGGGGGAAGGAGATAAGGAGCCTTCCTCCCCACACCCACCGGGAGGCAGAATGAGACTCCTTATCAACAGGCTAGAGCCTTCCTCCCCACACCCACCGGGAGACAGAATGAGACCCCTTATCAACAGGTCACATAGACGCAGAGTACTCCAGGAAGTGACACGTATATCGGATAAAGAAGAGTATAAAACCAGTGACTTTGGGGAAGTGCGTTGCGTGCCGTTGGCGGAGCAGAGACTCCCCGGCCGCCCAGCGCTGTTTTGCTTGCTGTCACTTGCTCGATAAACCGATTTGATTCATTGGTCTGGCACTTGTCAATTTATCTGAGCCACATTTATAACAATTTTGGTGCCATGACTCGGATAGAGGCAATCTGGTGCGAAGCCCCACACAGGGGAGGCACCCCGCTGTATATTGGCCCTTGCTTGGGTGCTATCTCACCATACCCTCTACCAACAAATCCTAAATTCGACAGCAAGCAAAAGAAAGCCGGTAACCCCGTAATCTTTGTGCACGAAGCTCTGAACGAAGACGCAGGGGTGCGTAAGTATAGGCCGGTTACCCGTTAGGTTGGGGTTGGGTATCCCGGAGTGTGCCTGTGTGACGTCCAATTAAGGACGAAGCAAGTGTAGATGCTCATGTACCCCAGAGTTGGGCCACTGAGGAAAACCAGAACAACCAACACATGGATAAAGCTGTTAAGATTGAAGTGGCTCAGATGGGCTTAGATTGGCAACATAAGGGTGTGGAATAATTAGAAATTAAACTGATATTTAAAATGTAGCATTGATCATACATAAAGGAAATATGGACTTTCAGGGGAAGTCCCTTCTGAGAGGAACAGAGGGCCCGATATGCAGAGTTGACCCTCATCATAGGGAAGTGTGTAGTCTGCCTGGAGCCCGGATCAGGGATATCACTAGGGCGCTCCCCAACCTGGTGCACCCGACAGACTACTACCCGCTGCTGGTCTTCCAGACAGGTGGGGAGGAAGCTGCTTCCCGCAGTCTGAGGGGGATGAAGAAAGACTACAGGGCCTTGGGGCAGATGGTGAAAGAGTCTGGGGCTCAAGTGATCTTCTCCTCACTCCTTCCATCTTCCACTGATGATGTGGGAAGGAATGGGAAGATTCAGTTCATAAACAATTGGCTTCGAGACTGGTGCTACAGGCAGGGCTTTGGATTCTTTGATAACAGCTGGTTTTATAGGGCACCAATCTGGACAATGACAAGTGAGAAAGGTTTGTCTCACAGATGCAAAAGGATGCTGGGGCATGAATTAGCAGGGCTCATTTGGAGAGCTTTAAACTAGATTCGAAGGGGGATGGGGTTGTAGCTGGGCTTGCCCCAGTGGGGCAGCACTCCAGAATTAATGAAGACTGGGAGGCCTCCAATAATCCTAGGGTGAAATCGGTGTGCTCAGCTCGCTCCCTGGAATGTCTGTACACCAATGCGCGCAGCATGGGAAATAAGCAGGAGGAGTTGGAAACCTGTGTTAAGTCAGGAGATTATGATCTGGTGGCAATTACAGAGACGTGGTGGGACAGCTCACATGACTGGAATATAGTCATGGAGGCCTATGTCCTTTTCAGGAAAGACAGGCCAGCCAGGAGGGGTGGTGGGGTTGCTCTTTATGTGCGGGAGCAACTACAATGCACCGAGTTCTGTCCAGGGACAGATGACTGTAAGCGGCGAGGAGAAGCAGACAGGCCAACCTAATATGGGTGATAAGCAACTTCAAGTTTATTTGTGACGCAGTTCACACATATATAGGAGTGGTATTCAGCCACTCCTTCTTGGCACAACAGTATTGGTTAGCCCCACACAGCTTCCTCCACATTCTCCTCCCATGTCCGGTCTCCGGCTACCTGTGGGGGCCACCCCCTGCCTTGCTTGCACAGTCCTCCAGAACTCTATGGTTCTGCTCTTAGAGTCATTCTGCAGCAATTCCCCCCTTTTTCTTTGTGCAAGCAAGGCATTATGGGTTATTCTGTTCACCTGTTTTATCACACAACTATAAGCAAGTCTAATAGCTACAATGATTAACCTAACAATGATACATAAGTGCAATACTTCAAACAGCAGTGTTTGACTCAACCTGTAATGCCCCGTGAAGACAACCATCTAGTTATTCTTAGGATATTGCTCATTTACTACTGCTGGGTAAGCTGAGCCAGGGTTCTCAGCTGTGCGTGCATCGAATTAGCATAATCAGAGAGACTCATACAACACATTCCATCAAACTCTTCACATCCATGTCCCTGTTCCAACAACAAAAGGTTCTGCAGTGTT